ATTCCTTTCCTCCCCCAAGCAGGTGAGCCAGGGTGTGTAAAGACTTAGTCATCAATAGAAAGAAAAGGAGCGTTTGCCCAGAGCCTTGCTGCTGGTTTGCCAAATGCACGATCCACTTGGGGCTTCTCCAAGGCGGAGCTGTCCTGTCCGCGGTTTGCTTCCTACAGACCTGCCACCCACTCGCTGGTGGCTCCTAGCATGCCTGCCTGTCGGCTGGCCTTGGCTGCGCTGTTTTCTTTTGGTGCGCCCTAGGACAGTCTTTCTCTCCAAGCCCATTTCTACATCTGTAAAATGGGGGTAATGATAATGACCTCACAGAGGGTTTGTAGGGGTCCCTTACGCAAACCAAAGGCAGCGAGGCCCCAGAGGCGTGGCCCGGAATTTGGTGTCTGCAGACTGATGTTTCAGCTTCGCAGGAGCTTGCCCCCGTGGCCTGGAGACAGCCACCCAGCTGCTCAGGTTCAAGTCTATCCCCCCACCTGACAAGTGGAGAGATTAAGCCCAGCTGTAAGCGAGGCAAGGGACAGGGGGCCTCATTCAGCCAGCGTTTCCCACTGTCCGCTCCAGGCCAGGGCCAAGGCTCCAGGGACGAGGCGGAGTCAGGGCACTCTGGCCTGGCGGGCAAACCTCAGTGCCAACCCAGCACCCAGTCTACATAAACCCACCCACCTCCCCACACTGCCCTCCTGCCCACCACCACCGTCTCCTCCACAAACACGGCAGTGGCTTTCTGGCTGCTCTCCTGCCATGCCCTCTTCTGTCTCTTCTTCTGCCCCTCCTGGTGGGGCGCTGCAGGAAACCCAGTCGCCTCTGTTTGGGGGAAACAACTGTGGCGCTTCCAGGGGGATTGGAAGGGAAAGGAAGAGGCTAGGAGACAAGCCTGAGTCCTTGTCCCTAGAGGGGTCCTCAGCAGCCAGAGGAACCTTCCTATTATAAAATAGAAATCTGATCCTGTTACTCTTCCACTTTAAAACCCTTTAAAAAAATTTTTAAAAACCACAGCAGGCCCCACATGCGCTGGCACCCACCTCACCTCGTCTTCCAAATCTCTCCCCTCACTTGGTGTGCCCGCTCTCTGCCCCCTACGCCCCTAACCAACCCATCTGAGCCGGGCCTTCTTCCTCAGGGCGTCCCCTGACCGTCCTCCATCACTAGTCTTATCCTCTCTTACATGACAGCACCTCATTCTCTCCACAGTAGCCCTTCTCACAGCCGTGTCTCTGGACTTGAATTTGTGTGACGGCTGGTGTGGAGCCCCTCTTCCCCATGGGACGGGAAGCCCATGAAGGCAGCGGCCACGTCTGGCTTTTCATGGCTGTATATGCATAGCCTAGTGCCCGCTTGTCACACAGAGGGTGTCTGCCAAGATGGGCTGGATGCATGAGCGTGTGCGTGAGCACGTGAATGAGGACCTTCCGGTGTGGCACGTATACCCACAGCTATAATTACGGGGTCAGGGAAGGTGCCAGCAGAGCTGCCACCTGAACCGGGCTTAGGGAGATGAGTACTGGCTTATCAGACAGGCACAGGGGTGNGCCACGGTGGAAATCACCATGGAGATGGAGAAGCAGGAAAATCCAGCCCTACAGTTACTGGAGTCAGCCAGCTATTAGCATGTCGGGAAGCTTGGTGTTCTGTTCCCAGGAAGTGAGTGGAGCCAGAAACATCTCCCTTCTATAAAAGAAGACATAGAAACAGCCACTTTTTTTTCAGTACTATGAAGGGGAAAGCGTAAGAAATGTTAAGCCATCGTTATTAATTGGACCTTGGAGGGATCAGCTTGCATAAGCAAAGAAAGAGAAGAGAAAATAAATTTGCAAAGAAAGGCTCTATGCTCAGCAGTTGGAAAAAAAAATGGAGCACAAGAGAGCCCTGAGCTCCTTGAATAATAAAAGAAATGGGGGTGGGAGGGGTGGGGGGGGTGGAGAGAGCAAAGGAAAAATTCTTTCTGCTTTTTTTATTATTCAGAGTGGGATTTACAGGTATTTGAAAAACGAACTTCGATTTTGAAATATCATTGCGGATTTGGGGAAAGAAATTGTTTTCTTTTCATATTTATATATGAGCCTCATTGTCCTGTTGGCAACTGATATGAAGAGCACCATTTAACATAATTGGCATTGTGAAAATGGGATAAATTATTCATCCTGAAAGGACCCCTCATCTGGATCTATAGTCCTTCGCTGGCAAGGCCAGATAATACAAGGTGGCTCAGATGGTGCAAAGTACAGATCATGAAAATTTAAAACACCACTTCCCGGGATTATCAGTAATGAAGAGGTTCCCACATGGAGAGGCCCCAGGATTGGCAGGAACAATAAATAAAAGTGCAGGAGTGCTGACAAGGAGCAAGATTGTATTTTTATGAGCTGGACTTGCACAGGCCAAAAATAGATGGAAGCTGCACCCTTCGGCTCATCCCTGCAGCTGAGAGAGAAGTTCAGAGCAGGCCCGCGAGTGGCTGGCGGCTGAGGACTCACTGGTGCCCGGTGCTGTGCTAGGGACCCTACCGATGTGCACTCAGTTCATTTCCATAACTCGCCTGCTCGCATTCTCTCCAACCCTCGCATCGCTGCTTTGACGTCATTATTCCTCCCATTTTTCAGATGAGGAAATATAGCCTCAGAGAGTTCAGTCACAGCAGATCCTCCCAGTCACTCGGAAGGTGGAGAGATTGTCCCCAGTCTACAGATGAGGGACAGAAATGACTTCACAACCTCACGTAGCCACCAAGAGTCAGAGTCAAGGCTTGAACCTGGGCTCCTGGCTCAGATTCAAGTGCCACCCACCAGGAAGGTCACCATTCAAGAATCGCTGCACTCACACTCTGATCCAATGGCACACAGTAGGGGCTCCATAAACACCGCTGAATGAATGAACCAAGGAATGAGTCTTATCTTTAAAGGGACGAGGTAAAGTTGCCCAGATGAGACCTGAGGACAGGCGAGAACCTTCTCCCATTTGCCACCCTCGCTCCTCACCCCCCCCCACTCCCCCACTCCGTCTCTTTGGGTCTGAGTCCTTCCCTGGGTCCTTGAAGCTTGGTATTGGGCCCAGGACACAGGGTAAAGTGTCAGTGCTCAAAGGATGTGAGTGGAGTGTTGTCCAGTCCCATCAATTCACAGATGGGGAGACGGGAGCCCAGAGAGGGGAAGGGATTGGCTACAGGTCACACAGCAAGGCTGGCTCAGGAGCTGACTCCCAGTCCAGGGCTCCTTCTGTGAGATCAAGTCTCTTTGCCTTGTCAGGACTTTGCTTTCCCAGAGGCAGAATGGAAGGTTGGCCAGGACGGTCTTGATGGCCTCAAATGGACCCCTGAGCCCCTAAGTCTAGGACTCTCCAGCTACACGGCGATGTGCAGTATGGGATGAGTGGAGGGCATCTCCACAGGGCCCTCTGCAGTGGCTTCCAGCTCCTTCTGCTCTGGGCTGGACTCCTCACAGTGGAAGTCCGCGCCTCTGCCACTGGCTCTGCCATCTACGGCCAACAGGCCAGGCCCACTTCACTGCTCAACTCTCCTTGCAGCCTGGGGCCAGCCCTGTGCTCTCCAGGAACAAAGACCCTGGAACTGAGTCAATGAGGATGATAACAACAACAAAAGCAGCACTAATAGTACAACCTTGCATCAAACATTTCCACTGTGCCAGACCCTGTGGTAAACATTCCACATGTGTCGTCTCTTTTCATCCTTTGAATAAGTCTCAGCGGAAGATCTTATTGTTCCCATTTTAACAATAAGGAATGAGAGGTCAGAGTGGTTAATAAACTTCCCTGGGGTCACA